TCCTATGCTCGATCAGCACGCTGACTACATGTAAAGATGGGAGAAGATGATTATTAGCTTACCCAATCGAAGAAGGGTCCAGTAGCGATACCAGTCCACGTGAATGAGCTGTTCTTCTCAGAGAGTTCAATCAAATAGTCAACAAACTCAATCTTGGGAGTCAAGATGCCGCCAATCTTAGAGCCGCGGGCCTTGCGAGTGTTGATTCCGAATTCTGATGGGATGAAGCGCTTAACTTGAGCGGCAACAGCAGCGTCGGCGAGTGTCTTTTGACTTCCGAATCCAGCATTTCCGACGACAGACACGACGGCGTCCTGGCCCTTGAAAACCTCTGTGACAGCTTCGACTGAGGAGAGATCGATCTTCTTAACAGTGGCCTCGGAGGGGAATGTTGCGCTGGACTCCTTTCTCGAGACTGCTGTGACTTCAAACCCGGCGTCAATGAGGCCACGGACGATGCTGGGGCCAAGGTTTCCGGAACCCTGATGGAATTAGTATCGGAACGTTAAGTGACATGATAGGTGAACTTACTCCGACAACAGCGACCTTCTTAACGACAGACATGTTGAGACTCTTGGACTTGGTTTAAGACTGTGTTGGAGTTTGGAGTTTAAGAATTGGAGAGTTGAGAGTTGTTTTACGGGTTGTAATCTTATCAGCTGCGAGTGACTTCAATTTCACCTTTATACTTGGAGGTTGGGCGCAACCTGCTTATATGCTTTGCTGGTGGACAGCTGTCTCCAAGCTTCACCCCGCCTCCACCGAGCTATCGCGCAATAACTGGAGATCTCGCACGATTGTGTATGCATCACGCAAGATCCACCACGGTTTCGCACTCAGTATTATCAATCAGCATCTCTGCCGTCTGGTGTAACGGCCCCCTCCCGGCGAGCGGGCATTGCTAAGGCGCCGACCTGACCCCCCTATGTCCCGGCGCCCCCACCGCGTCTTCTCGGTAACAAAGTGCTTCCGGACTCATTTTGCTTCCGAAGAACAGTGGTGGCTTTGTGTGCAACACTAATAAAGAAGGTTCCGGCTGCCGAGTGATGAGGCGATCCATTTAGACTCGGCACGGTACCCTCCTCTCGGCAGCTAGATGTCTTGGGTTTGCCGCTAAGTTTATCGGGCAATAGCAGCATGGTATTTCAAAGGCGCACGCATGGGCCAGGACAAAGGCGGACACGGATATTTTGACTAGCAAGTGAAGTTTGAACAAGTCGCTTCACCGATCCCACACCGGAACAATGCTGGTAGTCTTTTTGGACACATGTGCAAAATACGATTGAGAGCTTCTAGCAGAAACGATATGCATTCGTAACGAGTCCATATTACACATCAGAGAACAGGAAGCTACCCTGAACGAAGTCTGGGTACCTACACGACCCGTGCACAATCCATACAGCGACAGTATCCCACCGGTCTTTTTACTGAGCCATTATATCCGAAAATGATTATAAAGCCACCTGGCGCAAAAGCAGTGTTCTGATTTCCTAACCCTAACTCAAAGAACAAGATTTCTACTGAAGACTAAGAAGGGGACTTTGTCGCCGATGGAAACATGTTTTCACTCTCTGTGCTGCCTTTTAAAATTGCATGTGGTTCAACGTCAGGCGGTTCCGTTGTCTGAGAAACAAGGGGTTTTTTTCCCCACCAAAAACTAATACATATCCAGACTGACTTCGAAGGTTATTCCTGCTCCATGCTTCATATTCCACCTACCCGGATCAAACCTGCGCCCCTATACCCTTTCTGACTCTCCCACTGAAGGGAAGAGATTGGACGTGGCTGCGAAAGATATGTGATGCTCAGCCCTCTCAGCTCAACTGCTCAGAGGTATGCTAGGAAATGAAGCCCATGCCGTGCACCTCCAGCAGCTCGGAAGAATTGCGTGTTTGCGGAGACCGTCTTGGGCCTGGGCCGCATTCCAGAGCAGAGGGGTCCAAACCACGTGTCGAGATTTAGGAGAAGAAAAGCGGAATGTGGACTGGAACTCAGTAAGACCTGAGTTCAAGATATGCAAGCCCTGGATGGCCCAAGACCCTGGGGAGCGAAGTTGGCATTCTGTAGACATGGTCGAAATGCAGGTCCATGTTGTGAAGTGTAAACAATGCAGCCAAGATGCCGGTTAACGACCATCGCTATAAATGGAGATGTTGATGCCGCCATCAATAACGTAGTCACTTGTGTGCAAGGCAGAGGCCAGATCCACGTCTATCAGCCGCGCCGGCTATCATACAGTCTTTACCGCCCGAACAATGTCGCTCTTCAGCACACGTACGCTCGTTACCGCCCTTTTGTTGGCACAGTCATTCGCTTTACCCGCCCCGGAATCCAAGCCAGTCCAGCTCGAAGAAAGAAACATCTGCAACGACGGCGAGCTTGCTGCCAAGAATCCGCGCGCAGCTTTCTTCCGCAAGGTCGTGGATGAGTCAAACTATAGCAACCATAGTAGAGTACCGACGCCGAAGGATGTTCCCCTAAAGGTCGGCATCATTGGCGGTGGAGCTGCCGGACTCTACGCTGCCATTCTACTTGACTCCCTCGGAATTGACTACGACATTCATGAGGTCTCTGGACGCATTGGCGGGAGAATCTACACCTACCATTTTGATCAAGAGGCTTGGGACAAGTCCACACCCGTAGACCCTGCCTACTATGATTACTACGTGAGTTGTTGTCGCTAAACAGTGCACCATTCCCTAGCTAACATGATCACTGCAGGACGTCGGCGCCATGCGCTTCCCTCCGATGCCTTACATGAGCCGCATCATTGGAAACGACTCATGGAGTCTTATCCCCTACATCAATGCGAGGGTAGCTGAACGCGACCAGGTTGTTAAGAAACACTACATCTTCAGAACGGACAACACGTTCAGACGATTCAATGGCATCACCTCTCTTCTCCAAGACCCGAACTCTGCCTCCCCTGCTAGGTACGACGTTCCGGTATTCAACTCGACCTTTAACACGCAGTCTGCGTACAATGTGTGGAAGGCTCAAGTCAGCAGCATGACGACAGCGCTCTCAGCCAATTTTGACACAGGTTTCAATCTCCTCATGAAGTATGATTCCATGACGGTCCGGGAATTCCTCTTGGACCAGGGCTTTACGAACACCGAGATCGACTGGATGGAGACCATCAACGATGCCACAGGTCACTACGATATGTACTCCATGTCTCAAGCCGTCCTAGAGCAGTGGATTTTTGACAGTGCAGATATTGACAACTGGTCGCTGATCAATGGCGGTATGGACATGTTGACCAAGGGCATGAACCTCATTGTGAAGAACAAGCCCGTTCTGCACAACAGGGTTTCCGACATTAAGAAGAATTCCAATGGCTCCTTGAAGATTGTCGTCAACGGTAGTAAGGAATACGACTACGCTCATGTCATCTCAACTGTTCCGTTGGGTGCCCTCCAGGCTATCAACATGACCGAGCTAGAGCTCAACTATTTCGAAAACCATGCCATCCGCTCTCTCAAGTAAGTCCACTTACCTTCTACTTCAGCCGGGTTTCTTCTAAGCCCAAGCTAACTTCGTACTGAAGCTACGATCCTTCGACAAAGATTGGATTCAAGTTCAAGACTCGCTGGTAAGCTGTTTTCCGGCCACAGCATCAAACTTGGGGTTTCAACTAACTCGCTCATTGCAGGTGGGAAAACCTCGCCACCGGTCCTTTCAAGGGCGGTCAATCCTTCACCGATCTTCCTATCCGCCGCTGTGTCTACCCCTCCTACGGCGTCGATGTCCCGGGTGCCCCGGGAACCATGATCGCCAGCTACGTCTGGGGCCAGGATGCCTCCAGACTAGGCTCCTACATGAACCCGCACAATGAGAAACAACAGGCACCTTATCAGCCAGAGAGCATCGACGTCATGGTTGACTTGACTCTGAGGAACCTGGCAGAGCTCAACGGCGTGTCTCACGAGTTTCTCCTGTCGCAATTTGAGGGATACCACGCCTACGACTGGTACGGATCGGCTTATTCCAACGGCGCCTTTGCCATCTTCGGCCCGGGGCAGTTCAGCAGCACGCTGCCGTGGTTGATGAGGCCTTCTGCTGATGGCCACATGCACTTCGCGGGCGAGGCGCTGAGTTCGGGCCACGCTTGGATCATCGGTGCGGTCAACAGCGCCTGGAGAACTGTGTTTGAGATTCTTTGCACTGAAGGTCTGGAGGACAAGAAGAAGCAGTTCGTTGAGCAGTGGGGTGTTATTGATGAGGTTGACATGGGCTGGTATGACTGGTCTCCAGAGGGGTTTCCATGAGGGCAATAGAATCTCGGCCCCAGGCGCGGGATTGCGGGGCGCATGGCGCAGCAACGATGACAGCTAAAGGTTGCGCGCATCTGTCTTCAGCCAGGTATACGTATTTCATTGTCTACCACTACTACCAAACTCAACAAGATATACGTAATGTTAATTCTACAATCACGCAGATATCCGTAAGGCCATCTGTGTCGTACCGCGATGCACATTCACTATTTGAGGAATTTGATTTCAGTGTTTACGGACGTCGTACAATTAATGGGGTGTTATCTCTGCCTTGACCTCTGAAGCCACAGCAAACTAATTTGTGTCTGTAAGTTCTTGGGAGCTACACGGACCAATATGAGAGCCGCTCGTAGGAGCCGTCATTATGAGCCATCTCGACTCATCCACACTTCCTAATCTAGCTGACCGGTTCCCCACCCAAGCAACTCCATTTCTGATTTGAATCTCTCACGTCACTCGTTTCCACGTGCCGTTGTTTGACAACATCGTACAGGGAGACTGGAATTCCCTGGATTGTCTCCAGACGTAAGTCAACCTGACCTCTTGTCAAAGTACTTCTGCCTCTCATTCAAAGAGAGGCCCAATAATCTGACTCCATGGCAACACTACAATCATTCGCATTTCCTACGTGCAGCTGGACTCGACCAGTATTCTACCGAGAACAGCAGCCAAAGGAGCCGGAACCACCTTGGGGAGCTTACCTGGTGGGATTCTCATCAGGCAATGGGCCCTATGTTTGGGTGGCAGGGCATCACGACAGACTCAGGAGATGGATCTCAACTTCCAAACTACCAAATCTCTCTCGATCCGCAACTTGAAGCCGATGAGTTGCATCGAGCAAGTAGTCAGGATGACAGCATCGCTGCGCTGGGGGCGTTGCATACAGGTCGGGAAGATGTCTTTCTGGGTATGCTTGCTAGCATCGAGCCTTCCCAATCATCAGGACCGCATGGTACGTTCAAGTGGTGTTGATTCACCTAGCCATCTTCTTGCTGATATCCATCTCAGACTGTCGACCATCTCAAAGGGCCACTCATAGAAGCCCGCAGGAAAGCATTCTGGATAACCCCGAGTCCATCTTCTCCTCGACCTTTCCTTCGAGGAGCACCACTTCCGATCTCCTGCCCACTCAGCCCTCAGCCCCCGCAACTCAGCGCCGCGATCACTCCGCATCTGGCACTAAACGCAAAGCCAACGGATCTCCAACGACTGACCTCGATTCAATCGATGAAGATAACGCTAATGCTATCAGAAGACAGCGCAATACTGTCGCAGCTCGAAAATATCGTCAAAAAGGCCGTGACCGCATCACGGAGCTGGAATCTGCTCTTAAAGTTGTCGAGGAGGAGCGTGACAAACTGAAGCTACAACTCGCGAGGAAGGAGGCCGAGGTTGATGCTTTGAGAGAAATGATGAAGAAATAGGCAGTTACTATCTTCCGCCAGGAGATCGTATCATGTATTAGTATGAAACCCTCATTCCTATCATTCGTCGCGGGCTGGCATGAGAAACAAACATCGCTCCCAAAGTGTTTGATAATATTGCATCTGATGCATTACTCCAATTTCGATTTGGAATCCAGTGCGCGCGTCGTGGTGATTAAGTCCTGAGGCGGTTGTTCAGGCTGCCTCTCTAGATGTATCATTACATCAACAACGCTATGGTTTTCCTTTATGTCCCAATTCACCACCGCCCCAACAACACCCCATGGGAATTGCCGAATCGAGTTCTGTTGAAGAGACGCAGTTCTGTCAGAATAGCGCACGAAAGAATAAAACCCGATGGATGCGCCGACATTTGAGGGTGCTGGTGTGACTTTACAGCGCCACCTTTGCTCTTGAGATTGAGATTCTGGCCTTGAATCCTTTCCATACAAGACAGCAAACTGTAACACTCGCCGTTGTCCTTTCAATTCCTCCAATTCGATCACGAAAGCCCAGATTGGATCGCACATAAATGCGACTGCTCTTCTAAACTCCCCCGGTTTCGTCTGGAAGGCGTACGCATCCCCTTTCATCTCCATTTTCAGAGGGGGGTACGCAGCAAGAACGGTCGCAGACACAGCCTCATTCCGCCTGTCAAATCGCAGCCGGGATTTCTCGGGCTTTAGATTCCAGGACTCTGCTAGAGATTCGACGTAGTACGCTGGAGTTGCCCGGAGATAGAACGTTGTCGATTGAAACATCTCTAGCATCGCAAAGGGGACCGCATAGAGTCGATCTGTATCGCGCCGATACGCCTTAGCCGCGCAATTTGTATACTTATCTTCCTCTGAAAGCATGATACAGAGACAATATATGCCGTTCGGTAAATGAATGTTCAAATCAGTCCACGCAAGCCAAGTGTTTGGATGTGGGTTCAATCCCCTGTTCGTGAACATGGTAATTGAGATACCCCGCGGCGATAACGCAGGCGGAGAGAAATCAGGCCTCAGATGCGGTTGATGAACGTCAGTAGTGACGCCACTCAGATAAGGCTTAATGCACCTGAGCATTAACTCTTTGTCTGGCTTGATCAAACTTGAACACGTTGATCCTCGCACACTGATCCTTTGCATGCCACTGTCAAAATCTCTTCTAATCGCAGCTTCCGAAACATGGCTCGTATCTATTCTCATAGTGCCGAAGTCTCTCGGATGCGACGCAAGGGCCGATGAGTATATTCTGAGCGGCTGGGGCGACGTATCGTATGACGTCCAGGCCATTAAGCTATAGCCTTCAATGGTTCTGAGAATCTCTTCTTGGAGGCGGCGGAACGCACGGTCTCCCTCGCCATATAGAAGCGGCATGTTGACGTCAAATATGCCTAAAAGGCAATAAGCCATGTCTTCGACGCGAGTTGTTTCTCGGCTGGCAGCCCACTGCATTCTACTCCACACAGTGAACTTTGACAGCTTTTCTACGCCTTCTGACTCGAGAGCCTCTTTGTCGATCATGGTGTGTTCGTGGATGATACCCGAAAGATCACTCCTCGTCCCAAGAAAGGACCAGTCTGAAACATGAAAGTCAACTCTTTGTGGTGCAATAAGCTCTTGAAGAGTCCACCCTCGTGTAAACCATCGGCTCCTGAGGAAAGCATCCTGATCCTTTTTGATGGAGGTAACATGATTCGAGTCCAGGTCAGGAGCGAGATTCAGAAAGCCAATAAGCGGGGCGTATCTCAACTGAGGCACATCTTCAAGGTAGGCGTAGCAGATCTCAGCTTCTCTGTACCAACGGAACATGGAGTTGATGGCCTCGGATAGCTCAGAGCTCGAAGACTTGTCGATACAGCATGTGTCGATCCAGATCCAGTCAAAGCCATCACCCAGAGCGAGCGCACAAGCGCCCTTGATCTTATTCCATCCAGCTTTGATACTAGAAGCAGCCCAGTCTCCTGCTTCCGTATCCTGGAGAATGATCTCTTCCGAGCCCCATGTATGGGAAAGAATGGCGTACTTGGGTCTTTCGCTCACAAACTCCTTGACCTTGAGCGTCGCGGTGTTTAGCAGTCGCATGTTGACGGTAGCGAGAGTAGGGGTTGGCGCGGGGAAAGCAGGAAAGGTGAGGAAATTCGACCAGTTTTCTAGGTAGTTCTCAGCCACGTGATGTATGCATCCATTCCAGCTGAGGCTGAGTTATCTGCATGTCGCAAGTGGTTGATTGGTCACAGTCGAACTTAGCATAGGATCATGGGATTGGGAGTTTTTCTATTTCAATTTTCTAGTGACCTTATTTAAGGAGCTTCAGTCGGGTCCCTATCACCTTTTGTTAGCCTCGCTTTCCTAGACACACTTCATCAAGTCATTTAATAACATACCAATCGGTCACCAAGTGCTCATCAAGCGCATCTAACACAGCAAGATCCTCCGGCGAGATTTCATACTCGGCCACGTTCGCGTTCTCAATGAGACGCTCCTGCCGCACACTTTTGGGAAGAGTAATCATTCCACGGTCCAGAGACCAGCTACAGAGGCGTTAATCAGATGCTGTGATCATATCGAAACAGGGATGATAACTCACCGAACAAACAGCTGCGCAGGAGTGCAGCCGTACTTCTTGGCCAGCTCCAGGATCTTGGGGTGCTTCATGCGCATGCCGCGGGCCAGCGGCGCGTAGGCCTCAATGGCAATGTTGTGCTTGGCGCAGGTCTCTCTGATGCGAGTCTGCGTGTTGAAGGGGTGGACCTCGATCTGGTTGATGACGGGTGCGATACGAGGCTTCGATGCCATCAACTCTTCAATCTGCAAATCTTGTCAGCGTCTCGAGTTCCCAAACTCAATGCCCCAGCAAGACTCTCGAAAGTCTGAGCAAACTCACATGAGCAGCACCGTAGTTGCTGACACCACCCATCTTCACCTCCCCAGCATCAATCGCATCCTCAATCGCCTTCCAACTCGTCAAGCGAGCCTCCTTGCCACCATACGGACTATGCAGCAAAAACAAATCAATGTACCCCAGCCCAGCAACCTGAACAGACTCCTTGATCGACTTGCGAACGGCGTCGTACGAGGTACTGCTGCTCGCCAGCTTGCTCGTATAAAACACGTCGTCGCGCTTCAGACCCTGCGTGTTTTGAGGGCTGGCAAGAAAGTCGGCAATTGCTTTACCTGATTCCGCTTCGTTGTTGTACATTTGCGCGCAGTCGAAGCCGCGGTAGCCGGCGGTCAGGGCCCATGGGATGGACTTTGTGGCTTCGCGGCCTGACATGCAGTAGAGACCCAACTGGATCTGGGGGATGGACTTGCCATTTGCGAGCTTTGGTCTGCGTTAGCTGATGTGCCCGGAGTTACGGGACTGTGGATAATATGGATGGTATCGTGATGACATTCAGGGTGAGAGGTGAGAACTCACTGTGAGGCGCGTGGCCAGAGTGTACTTGTTGGACGCCATTGTGATTGCTTTGGTCTCACTTTCGATATCGTAGGATTCGACTTTGGAGAGAACAAAGTGAGAAGGAATCCAGAATTCACTCGGAGTTGAGAGTCGCAAGAGTTGTCGCCGACATTGCGGGCTGTACCCGCCGTGACATCACGCTGAAAAGAGGGGCGGTGGCGGGGCATCATTCCGCCCCGGTTTCGGTCTCCGAACTAACGTCTTGAAATCTCCGGGAGCCAAAATTCAACTCGGACCTGAACACAGACGCATCTCGGGAGCACACTGTCCCACCATTGGTTCCATGGAGATATTCTTGCGCTATTTCCCTGTCAAGCTCGCCCGATCCCCGAGAGGATCGTACGAGTAAGGTAGCATCAACGCCAGACCGGGCTTTTGCACCACACTTGCCCCGCGGTTTCCAACACACCCGGAGGTGATTCCGCGGCACAAACCCGAGCGCCGCCTAAAGTTTCCAGCGCTGGGTTTCACCAAAGAATAGGTATCGAGCAGACAGCACTCAACTTGCACGAACATCATGAATCGTCTATGCATTCTTCTCACGGGGTATCTAGGGTAGTTGCCTGCGACTCACTTACATCCCCTCAAAACAATCCCGCAGCTCCAACACGCAATCGCAATCTGTAAATCAAAGGTAAGTTGATGCTCAAATGCTTATGATACACCCCACGCCAAGCGAACTCAATCGTCCCACTCCTCATCCAGCTGGTCTATCAGTCGGTTCTCATCTTCACGATTGCGGCCTCTGCTCGGTGACCCAGACAGATGGCTGTATCCTCGTCTCCCAGGAAGTAGCTGTGCACAAGAAGAGGTCGCGATAATGAACATGTCCTGCAAATCATGTCAGAATCGATTCTGAGAAAAAGAGTCGCGAATACTACGTACACTGACAAAGCCCCAAATGCCAGCCCAGAGGCTGTAGTTGGGAAGCTGTCGCCAACCGCGCGCATGCGCGACAGTCCTTTGGTAGAACACGCCACCTCCAAAGTAGACGAGTACGGCAATGACAAATATGATGGCAAACACACTGCCGGGACCAACGCTACCGGGCTGGTGAGGTTCGGCTCTAGGGCACGCATGCTGGGAACGGGCCTCGAAGAAGTACGCGCAGTCATCGGGGTCTGAGCCGACAAAGGAGATATGCGCAGCTCCACCGACCTGCTCGGTATCGCAATGGAAGGAGATGGTGGCAGACTTGCGGCGCGTGGTCGAGTCTGAGTCGTCCTTGTCGGCGGTGACCTTGTTTTGGGTGTTGCCAAAGGCGCTCAGAGCCGTGGATTCCTCCTCGTCGGCGTACTTGTTGTATGACGCCCCATCATGGGCTTTGGATCGTTTCGATTTGGTCTTTCCACATGGGGAACCGTTCTTGTACTGCAGGACGAGTATGCGCCCGCGGGTCTGAATGTCCATGGATGATGACCTGAAGATCGATGTGATCAGTACTTGCGCGTCTGGTGAAGAGTTTCGTGGGATACATACCCAATGGAGTACACCTCATTCTTGTATTCGTAGAACGCACTCACGTTCTTCGATTCGGTCTTTGTCAGGCCTTCAACGTCGTCAAGTGCCTCAATGACTGGCGCGCAAATATTCAAAGTGAAGTTGCGGCCATAGTCCCATCCTCTGGCGTGATAATCGGTCGTGACGCCTGACTTTGATGACTTGCCCTCCTCCGGCTTGACGGCGATATCCGGCCGCAAGTCATAGAAAGCCCCGCTGCCGCTCTTGGATGCCGCCGTACATGCCGGTGCACTTGTTGTCGTTGAAGACGTCGCGGTATCGGCAGCGCGAGCTGTCGCAGCTGCGAGAAGGAGCAAAAGTGTCGAGGAATGTAGGAAATGCATGGTTCTGACTCTGTTCCGGTGCAATGCCGATAAGGATGAGTTGGAATGAAGGATGGTTAACGTCGGCGCCCCTGTGGACGCGGGGGTGACGTTGGCGCGAGAAGACCCCTAGGGCGTCAATTGGAGACCGTCGGCCACTGGGAACCCGGAATCGAAGCGAATGGTCTAGCGATTTTGCTATGCGACGAGAGTTAACGATGGCGGAACGTGGACACAATTCCGTTGGGAGAAGATGAGAATTATCGAGGTGCGCAGAGCAGAATGAGTTGCCTGGCCACGAAAGCCACCTTGGTCACTTCAATTCGTCAGCCTTCATCTGCAGGGAATGACGGGAGTGACCGGGGCGTGGGCATTGATTGGTGGATGGGCCCTCCTTGCAGCATCCGCCGGAGGTAGAAGGCCGCCAGGCTGCAGTGTCCGGAAAGGTACCCACCCACCTCCAAATCACGTGGAAGTCTCCATTACATCTGTATTAGGTAGGACAGTCAGTCGCAGTCCCAGTCTTAGTCAGCGTGTCAGATAAAAGCGGTTCTCCGATTGCCGACCCGCCCGCACCGTACCTAACAGGACCCGCCCGTTTCTGATAGGTTCAGCTGGACCAGTGCAATGAATGTTCCTTGCAGTTGCAAGACGGGAGGGATTCCTCTCACCGGTTTACTACACCACCAGTTAATGAAACTTATAAACATTCGTGGTGTCCGAAAGGGGCAGTGTAGATGCACACGCAATAAAAGCTTCTTCCAGTCCTGATCTTCGGACCGTGTAGCTTTGATATCGTCCGATGCTTGGGAACGTCCCCCCGGACGCCGCCTGCCTCGGTGGAACCATTCCTCCGGGGAAGCTACGACGGGACAAGACTGGTGCTCCACCGTACAGCGTAAACCGTTTCGTAGCCCCACCCTTAACATAGCCCAATGAGACGGCTCAACTCTTTATTAGCGTCATCGAATTGAGCTCCATGAGGTCACCCGGAACACCAGAGCTCCGGCGCAAACAGTCCTCCACAGCCCACCTGGCGATCAACAGAAACTGGGGTCGATACTGAGCTTTGAAGCGGCTGTCACTGTCGCATTCGTATTTCCACATTGGGTTGGTGGGGCATACAAATATTCACATTTTCCTCTTCGTCTACCCCGTACGAAAACCTTTTCGCCAAAAACCTTGGATCATACACGCGAAGCTCAACACGAGCTTGTTTCCTTTCCCATCCTTATTACCCAGACTCGACAGCACTTGCTTTGGGGGAACGATCAACATGGAGTCCAAAGTAGAGAAGGACGCAGTCCAAAAGCCGCATGGCTATGAGTTCGGAGGGCCGTGAGTACTCCAGATTCTCATTGTATGAAAACCTAGCTAACCCGCGGCAACACAGTATCGGCGCCTTCGGCATCTCTTTCGGTCTCCCGATTCTCGTCTACCTCTTCACCTTCAGCTGCAACGACGTGTCGGGCTGCCCTGCTCCCTCTCTTTTGAGCCCTTCGACCCTCAAGCTCGATCAACTCAAGCGCGAAGTCGGATGGCCCGAGGACGGCATCTGGGGTCTCGCAGACAACAAGGTCACTGCTGCCGTCTTGGGATACTACCTCTTCAACGCGCTCCTCTACCGTATCCTTCCCGCGACCGAGGTCGATGGCGTCGAGCTCGCCTCTGGTGGCCGCCTCAAGTACCGATGCAACTGTAAGCTGTGCGAATCCAAAGAGAGAGGCTTTCACTAACAGATGCAGCCTTCGCTTCCAGCATGTTTATTCTGACCGTCTGTCTCGCCGGCACCATTGCCCAGGGCGCCGAGTTCCCTCTCTGGACCTTCATCACCGACAACTACATCCAAGTCGTTACGGCCAACATGCTTATTGCCTATGGTATTGCGACTTTCGTGTACGTGCGAAGCTTCGGCGTCAAGCAGGGTAACAAAGAGCTCCGCGAGTTGGCTGCAGGTGGACACTCTGGCAACCTCATCTACGACTGGTACATTGGGCGCGAGCTCAACCCCCGCGTTACCATCCCTCTCCTAGGCGAGATAGACGTCAAGGAGTGGCTGGAGATCCGACCGGGTCTGTTGGGCTGGTCTCTGATGAACTTTGCGTGGATGGCCAGACAGCACCGCACCTACGGCTTCGTCACCAATAGCAGCGTCTTCGTCTCTGCCGTCCAGCTTGCGTACGTCATTGACTGCTGGTGGAATGAGCCCGCGATCCTGACGACGATTGACATCACCACGGACGGCTTTGGCTTCATGCTCTCCTTTGGCGACCTCGTCTGGGTTCCGTTTGTCTACTCCCTGCAGACTCGTTACCTGGCTGTGTACCCCGTCTCGATGAGCCCCTTGGGTATGGCCGGTATCGTCGGACTCATCGGCGTTGCCTTCTCCATCTTTCGACTGTCCAACAGCCAGAAGAATGCCTTCCGTAGCAACCCGGACGACCCAAGCGTTGCCCACCTCAAGTACATCGAGACCAAGACCGGAAGTCGCCTCCTCGTTTCGGGCTGGTGGGGAGTCGCTCGTCACATCAACTACCTTGGCGACTGGCTCCAGGCGTGGCCGTACTGCTTGCCCACGGGCATGGCTGGATACACCATTGTCTCGGCAGGCACCGGATATGCCCAAGCCGGACTCGAGGGAGCTTTTAAGATGGCTGATGGTCGTGAGGTTATCCAGGGCGCGGCTCGTGGCATGGCGACTCCCATCACCTACTTTTACATTGTTTACTTTGCCGTCTTATTGATTCACCGCGACCGCCGCGATGACGAGAAGTGCTCTCGCAAGTACGGCGAGGACTGGGAGAAGTACAAGAAGATTGTTCGGTGGAGAATCCTTCCTGGTGTCTACTGAGATCCCGAGGGATCAGGAGACGGCTCCGGAAAGCAGGCCCGGAAAAGCATGCGGATGGGCACCTCTTCGGCCCGTTTGTTGGGTCGTGGAGCTGGTGGATATCGCGCATCACCCGGATCGTGGGTTCACCTGGAGCTTTTGCTAGCTTAGTAGTAGGCTCTGGCTCGCCCGGCTAAGAGGCGTTGGACAATCAGTTGGGCATGTGGCGTTCATGGCTGGGATCTGCAGAAGCGCCATCTTCTGAAGCCAAGGCGAAGGAATTCGGGCGCGTAAGTGACTTTTAATCGGGCGTGATTGCGGAACTAGACAGGTCGTCTAGTCAT